TGTGCCGTGTTGCGCGTGTGTGCGCGTGTGTGCGCGTGTTTGCGCGTGTGCGCGCGTGGTGCGCGCGTGGCGTGGCGTGTGTGTGTGTGTGTGTGTGTGTGTGTGTGTGTGTGTGTGTGTGTGTGTGTGTGTGTGTGTGTGTGTGTGTGTGTGTGTGTGTGCGTGGGTGTGTGTGTGTGTGTGTGCATGCGTGTGTGTGCGTGCGTGTGCGTTGGCGTGTGCGTGTGCGCGTGTGCGTGTGCGTGTGCGTGCGCGTGTGCGGGTGCGTGTGTGTCCACATGGGGGTTTACGTACATAAGTCTCTCTTTATAGAAGGACCCCGATAAGGTACCCCCAAGTACGGAAATCCCCGTATACCTCAGCAGGCATTGGTGTAGTGCATCGTAGATGCTCCTAGTCTTCGGGTTAATTTGGTCTGCCAGGAATCAAGCCCTTGAATAACAGCCTCTTAAACCCTAATCCCTGGAATGTTACAAGGCTGGACTACCCAGGTCTGACTTTAGTCGACACGGACGGTCTCACAAAATTAGGATTTATAAGGCTTTGGGGGTGAGGGTATCTAAGGCTCCGTGGTAGGGTCGGAACCCAAACAGGGGCCCTAGTTCAAGGAGCCTCGCAGACGCGTGGCGTCATCATCTTTTGAAATTGCAGGGTGTTTTAGATTACGGGCATGCCCCTACTTTGAGAAATACCCTCTTCAACAAACGCCTCGTGGCGAAGCTAGCCATCTAATTCATCGTGGCCAATGTCCGCGCGCGAACGAGTTGCACTAGGCGCAATTCAAAAGAAACAACCATCATGCTGACTAGCAGCAGTCTTTGCGGTGCTTGTGCTCAAGGATATCGAGGAAGAGGAGCAGTGTGTTTACACGAAGCTGACGACGCTTACGGTGCAGAACTGCAAGGCCTCGCGCATGGAGGACAAGGCACGCCGTCACGAAGAAGCCGCGATGTGCGCAACAAATTGGGTTGTTAGTAGGGAAGTGGGGAATCAGGGCCCCTATAATCTCTACATTGTCTTTTAAAGGGGTATACCTGATTGCCGCCGTTTCGGCAGTGACCCTTGAGGAGATGGTTCTGAGCAAGATACCGGACATCCAGACGTTCGATGAGCAGCTGCAGTATGCGACGTGGCTGTTGCACGCGGCTGCTGCACGTGGGTTGTATGCGCCGATTTGTCAACGATGTTGTGTTGGGTGCTAGAGTGTTCCGGCAGCAGCTTGTCTCTGACTTTGAAGCTGGTTCGAACAAAGTCGAGCCATCGGCTGTTGTTTCGCTTTTCCTCCTGAGGTTCCTACAAAATGTCTCCACTGCACATATCGCTGCCATGACCCATTAAGCAACTTAAGCACCTCGTCGCTGACCTTGATAAGCGCCCCCAACGCTCTGCGCGAGGTGATCTTTGGCCGACGCGGTCTGCTCAAGAGGCGCATCCTTTGCTGAATCCGGTATCGTGCCCCGAAGTAATGCCCCCGAAGCAAGCCACGAACCTGTCCTTTCTATGCTATGCTTAGATTCTTGCGCCTGTAGTTAACCCGAAACCCACAACTTCTGCATATAACTTAAAGCCCTGAAAATGAGCCGATGAGCATCCCTGACCTTAAGCCCAGCACCGCGATTCCTTGCTCACATCCCTTAAGGGGTGGTTTGGAAACTGGGCGCTGCGCCAGAATCCCTAAACCCCTAAACGTTAGCCTAAACGGGTTAGGGTCTCGGGTCTGGAGGGTTTAGGGTTTAGGGCTTGGGGGCTTCAGGGTTTAGGGTTGGGGGTCTGCTCGCCGACTTGTTCGCGGGTGTGTGCGTTGGAGCCTACTTTGATTGAGGCTTGTAGGGCTCTAGGGTTCTTGGGCTTTAGGACTCTAGGGCTTTGGGGTTTAAGGGTTTAGGAACTCGAAGATGGCCACCCACTTGGCGGATCCGCGAAGTTCGGGGGAGCCCCTATGCCCCAGTAGCTTCTTCAGCGATGCGGGGCATGTGGCAGCCCATCCTCGAGCCCTAGACCCTCTAGGGTTTAGGGTTTAATTAGGGTTTAGGGTTTAGGGTTTAGGGTTTGAGGCCGCAGGATCTGATGTAGTCTTCGTCGACACGTTCAAAGGTTGAGGGTTGGGGGTTTCGAGTCTAGGGTTTAGGGGTCTATCAGGGTTTATGGAGCTTTTTGGTGGTTTGCTAGGGGGTTTCGGGTTTTGGAGTTTTGGGGTCTAAGCCTGTGGGGGTTCATTCGTGTGAAAGTGGCGGTTATTCGGGCTTTTCTGAAGGTCTTTAGGGTTCGTCACCCTGACAGTGCCCATCCCTTCGTGAAGCCTCATTCAAACCCTAAACCCTAAACCCTCAACCCTAAACCGAAACTCCAAACCCCAAACCCCAAACCCCAAACCCCAAACCCCAAACCCTAAACCCTAAACCCTACACCAAACCCTTAACCCTCCATCGCAGGCGCTTGGCCGGACTCGGACTCCTTAGCGCTGCCAAGCGCGTGACGCTGCGCGTGGCCAAGTCCGCTGCGCCTTGCGCAATCCCTGACTGGCATCTTTTAGGGTCTAGGGGTACGAGTTTGTGGTTTAGGGTTTAGGGTTTAGGGGTTAGGGGTTAGGGTTAGGGGTTTGGGGTTTAGGGTTTAGGATACTACTTGTAGCCCCAGTATGTGTATACATTAAACTGCACAAAGAACTTGGTTCGAGTTCAAAGACGCCATGCTATCTCAGATCCAGCGCTATCTGAATCCCTAGACCCTGAATCCTACGTTGCACCCCCAAACAGCCGAACAGAACACCTTCAACCCCAAAGCCCTCCCCAGCTTTGCCACTGTGCCGCTACAACCCGAAGCCCTAACCCCAGACCCTAGCCCCCGAACCCAAAACACTCCGGGGAAAAAAGGACTTTCGGTTCTCGCGCGAGCTAAGCGACTCAGAGTCGTCGTGTCTTGACCTTGGCATGAAGTTGGCTCATAGGTTTTACGGAATTTCAGCGCATCGTGGGGGCATGTTGTTGCGTTTTGGCTGGGAAGCTGGGCGTTGGTGGAAGGGGCGTGAAGACGTGTGGACATACAATTTCAACTTTCCACAGCTTGAGGGTTCAGGGTTTAGGCCCGCAGAGATGAAGTTGTGTTCTGTGCTGCTAGACAGCCAGGCGGTTGTTTGCAAGGACAAGTATATGTACATATTTATGTGATTATATTATACTTTATTATATTATATTGTATTTCATTATATTACATTATATTATATGATATTATATTATATTCTATTATATTATTTTATACGATATTATATAATATATCTGTGTGTGTATGTTTATATATCTAATCCCACGTATCTGTGTGTGTGTGTGTATATCTAATCCCACGCTTCAAGCCCAGGCTGGTGTCAGATTCTGCGGGTTCCGATGAGTGTTGATTGGCCAGTGCCTTGGTGCACTACCCCCGACTGCACCCTGAACCCTAAACCCTGAACCTAAACCCTAAACCCTAAACCCTAAACCCTAAACCCTAAACTTAAACCCCTATATATCCACCGGAAGCATCCCAGGGGCCCCCATGGCCCATGGCGTAAGTAGCACTCCAAAGCCTCTAAGCTCAAACCACGAGCGAGCGCAGGCGAAGCTCCGAAAAGCAGGTGTTCGGTGGGTTTGAGGGCAAGGGCCTTGAGACGCACTTAGCGGCTCCCTGGTCTACCCACATCCTTGCCCAGGCACACGTCCTTGTCCAGGCATCGCTTCCTGCAAGTATGGATTGGTTGGACATCGACCTGGCATACAAAGGCGCACGGTCTCCGAGCAGCAAGGTGTCTTTACGCGGTGCTATTCAACCCATTCGCCTTTCAGTTGCTGTGAGGATGAGGGCCCAAACCTCTCGCGAGCTCAGTACCTCAGTACTGCAGGCCTACTTCTCTGCAGGTGGCCCAGGCCTAAAATGACAACTTCGACTGAGAAGCACCGTGGTCGCCTTCAGCCTCAGAACGCTGCAGCAGCAGCATGCTGCAGCGTATCTTGGAGCTGGTTCCGCATAAGCATTGCCATTGGGAGCGGATGGCTCTGCCACCTTCTGCAGCTGTGGCCATGAGCAAAGTGTGGCATCTAAAGGACGTTTCCGAAGCATCGGCAGATCTTCTCATGACTTGCATCATACCGTGCTGGAGCTGAATACGAACCCGTGCCTTCCATGATGGAGCCCTGCGTGGCGAAAAAATCCATTTTCTCTACTTCAATTTCGGCAGATGGGTAATACTGCACCCGTGAATCCTTTTGTCATCTGGTGGCAGTGGCGTCAGCTGCATGAATGCCACGACAACAGCAGGCGCGAGATTTTTGGTCTTTCGGTCTAGCGCAAGTCTCTCATCATAGCACATCTTCAATGGACACTCAACGACCTACCCTAAAGTCTCACACCAAGTTCAATCTCTAAAGATCACTGACCGTGCAGCTGATGGCAGGATGCTACGGTGAGATGCCACAGAGCTGCTTCGGCGCAGCAAGTCGATTCCGAAGTGTTCCTGGGCGGCGACCTTTGGCCGAAGCACGGTCCAAGAACACAAGTAGCGAGAGCATGCGAGAGTGCGCGAGAGTGTGCGAGAGTGGTGACCGCTTCTCCAGCCAAGGCACCATGTGGAGCGGTCCTGACTCGTAGTAGCTTTCTAAGTAGCAAGTCGCCAGGTTCTTTGACCTTGGAGAGTTACGTGGAAAAGAGGCCGTCAACCTTTCGGGCCCCCATGAACCTCAAACGCAGAGTACCTAAAGGGGACCCCAGTGTGCCCTAAACCCTAAACTCTAAACCCTAAACCCTGGCCCTAAACCCTAAACCCTAAATCCTGCATGCGTCTCCTGCAAATTGGCGCTGAGCCAGCTTTGGACCCGCACATTCTTTGACCCGCCACTGCCGCAACTCTGGCGTCCTAAGCCTGTTGGGGGGTTTGGGGGGTTTAAGTGGCACGACACTTTCCTCATCTCAGCAGTGCTGTCTGGCGAACACTTATCAGTTGCCACCTACCTAAACCCTAAACCCGAACCCCCAAACCCTAAACCCTCAACCCTAAACCCTAAACCCTAAACCCTAAACCCTGAACCCCAACCCTAAACCCTAAAACCTCAAACCCCAGACATGCCAAGCCATAGGGCTTTTAAGGTTTTCAACAGGCTCCGGCGGCCTGGGCGGCTATTGGAGCATGCGCGTGGCAGCGCGCGAAGGCGCCTGCGGTCAGCCTGGCAGGCCCTCCATGCGTTGGAGTTTAGGGTTGAGGGTTTGGGGTTTGGGGTTTAGGGTTTAGGCAGTTTAGGGTTTAGGGTCTGGCAGGCCCCTGGGATTTATTGTAAATGTCTTCTCTGGTTGTGGGTTTAAGAAGGTCGTGGTACGTTGCTGAGGGCTTCATAAGAACAAACCTAAACTCATTGCATTGACTTGCCAAGGTTGGGGCATCATGCGGTACTGTCAGCAGAGCCCCACAACACTTGTCGGGTGCTGTTCAGATGCTACTTTTCGGAGGAAGTATAAGCCCCTGAAGCCACCTGATGCGGCAATACGTGGGTTATAAGTATACAGGAGTTGGAACAGGGATATAAAGTATGGCTATGAACCCCCAAGTAGAGGCCCGATATTCAGGCGGTGCCGAGTTGCAATGCGTGCCTTGTGAGCAGCTGAGCAACACAAAGCCTCGATTTTCAATGTCTCTTTTCGCTGTTGGGACTCGTAAGACTGCTTCAGCGAATTAGTCAAAGCACGTGTGTGTGGAGGCTCGAATTTCAGTCCACTGCGGCTGAAATTGCAAGTGCCATCTTACCAGGGTTCTCTGGTATGAGAGTATAGGGCAGCGCTTGAATCATCGGACTCTTGCAATGCTACCTCCCCGCTCAGCCACGAGCCCAGGGGACTCAAGCTCTGCGAGGGCACAGGGCGCAACGTTGAGGGCTGAAGCGGAGGTCGCTCCGCGCTCCTCGACCGAAACTTTTGAGAAGCCCCTCAAGGGCAAGATGGACATCCTAGTGGCTGGGGGTCCGGACTATCAGCGGTTCATATTCATGGCACATGCACAAAGGTATGGCGTTGAGGATGCAGTAGAAGTTACCGACCGCCGTGATTTTGAGATCGCGCTCTTGAACTCCCAGAAGTACAGCCAGGATCAGCCGTTTGTGGTCTTTCTTGGTGACGAGTCATGGCTTCAGGTTCTCAAGAAGCATGACTTCAGCGAGAGGCCCCTCTACCTGGTGAATGTCAACGTCACCTCGTCCAACCCGGATGCCTACCATCGCCATGTCTTCTCGTCGGTGGAGCCTAAGGAGGTGGAGAGCCTTCTGCTGGAAGTTCTGCATACTTGGTGGCCAGCCGCCTGCGGCGACAGAGACCGGAAGAGTCTTTCTGGCGTGGCTGGGGCCACGGCAGGATATCACCAAGGGGCTGCGCCGTAGGGCCACGTAAAGTTTGTGAGACATGAGGGGGTTTGCTCGGTTAAGTGCCGGGCCAGCTCGATTTTCGGTGACTGCGAGGACAAGTCCGAACCAGGGAGCTATGCCAGCTATGCAGGCGTGCGTGAGTGCATGGTCAGAAAGAGCAGTAGGACTTGCTCCATCGTGACTCCTGAGTGGTTCGGTTGAGGGTTGGCCCTTTGGATTTGCCTGGAGCTCGCGTAGACGCTGTCACAGCAGCTCAGCGATCCTGCAAACATCCAACCCTGTGTGTAGTTTTTGTGTGTCGAGCTCCAGGTGTGGCTTTCACCTTCTCTTTATAGTCTTGATGCATCTTCTTCCAGGCATGTTTTTCAGATTCTCTTTATCGTCTTGATACGTCTACTTTGCAGTTGACACGTTGTCACCTCAGGAGACGTTTGCTCCGGGACAGTGATCTTTATAACTGCCCTGAGAGTCTCCAAGGGAAGCCATGCATGCCCGCGGAAGTCTTCGGCGCCTGAGCCCCCCCCCAGCATGTGTTCCACTACCCGGAACTTCATCACAGCATAAGGCTCAATATGTTTCTATGGCCATGTACAGTTCTTTGGGGGCCGATTCTTGCGTAGCAACAGAATCCCCTCCGCCGCTTGCGACGTTGCGCTTGCAAAGTGGCACAAAATCACGAGATCACGCGGTCACTCCTTTTGACTCCCGATCCTCACGCAAACACCCTCTCAGCCTACGCCCTCACCCTCATCGCTTAACTCCTCACCATCTCACCCGCGAAGACCTCGCCCTAAACCCCAAACCCTAAACGACTATAATCCCTAAGCCCTAAGCCCTGAACCCACGGTTCTTCACTGCAGGTCTTGTGCGCGAACGTCGGCATGAGTCGACGCCAGAAGGCTGGAATCTTTTCTCTTGGTTCGAAGGGAACATAGAGGAATGGGTTTACGGTTCGGAGCCATTTTTCCGATTCCTTCCCGAAGCCCGATAATACACCCTGAAGCCTGACCTAAACCCTAAACTCGAAGCTCGAAGCCCTACGCCTCAAGCAGTGCAGTGCCCCTTGCGGCTACCCGGGTTCCAAAAAGGGTTTTCTGTCGGCCCCGAAGCTGTATCAAACCGAATCCCCAAACTCCATAAGGTGGAACCATGCGCCCTTAGTTTGGTCCATTACTGTCCCGGTTTGGGGTTTAGGGTTTAGGGTTTAGGGTGTTGAAAGGGATCTAAAGGGATCCGAAGTATGGGCCCTTATGATGTATGGTGCATATAAGGGGGGGTATATAACAGGGGACCCAAATTAAGCGCCCAGGCTTCGGATCCCCTATACCCCAAAACCTGCTCAACCAACCCTACTCCCAAAAACCTGATCAACCCCAAACCCTATGGCCCCCAAACCCATAAGCCCTATGACCTAAAAAACGCGAAGAGCTTGAATTGGGATGCCAGTAAAGGAACTGTGCATGTTGGGAGGTTCCATAAACCCTAAACCCTAGGGGACTCTTGCTCTCGGAGTTTAAGAGACCAGGATCCAAGTTTCCTGATTGAGGGTTTAGGGTTTAGGGTTTAAGGGTTTAGGGTTGCGGATGCTCTAGACCGCTGCAGCAAGCCCTGATGTCCCAAATGCCCCCAAGCCTGATACATCAGCCTCTAAATGCCCGTGCACGATCACGATGTTGGGGTTTTCCAACCCGGGGGAGCCGGCAATCCTAAGCCCAAAACCCTAAACCTTAAATCCTAAACCCTAAACCCTAAACCCTAAACCCTCGACGGCAACCCATGTAGGCAGGGGCCACACGCCTGCACCAAGTGATGCTTCTCCGCGGCTTCCTCTCCCTCTTGGCTGCTCAGCGCCTGCACCTCAGGTGCAAGCAGGGCCCCTGTGCCTGGGATTTAGTGCATATTTTGGGCCTTGAAGCGAGTTTAGGGTTTAGGTTTAGGGTTTAGGGTTTAGGGTTTAGGGTTTAGGGTTTAGGGTTTAGGGTTCCTACATAAGCTCGAGGGCCCAGGGATCTAGCTGCGTGTGCCCTTGGGGGAAGTGGGACCATGGCGTGCCTGCAGCTCCCTGCAGATGTGTACTGGGTTTAGGATTTAGGGTTTAGGGTTTGGGGTTTGGGGTTTGGGGTTTAGGATTTAGGGTTTGGGGTTTCTTTGTCATAGTGGGGGTAACATTTTGCATTCTTAAGGTCAGGAACAGAATTTTTGGATGCAAAATGCTATCCCAACCATGATCTAGGTTTGGGGGTGTAGGGCCTGGGGTTTTGAGGCCAAGCCTGCGATCCCAACACGGCTGTTCCTAGGCGGCGCGCGAGTGTGGGCGGCAGAGAGGGCCGCTCGTGCCGAAGGAGCGCGTTGCCGAAGATTTCGATGCTCTGTCGTAGTGGGGGAACATTTTGCATGTTTAAAGGGTACTTAAGCTCAATAAGGGTTAGAAAACTAAACAAAATGCTATCCCAACCATGATCCAGGATGGGTCTCCACACTGCTACTGTGTGAGAGCCCTAAACCCTAAATTCTTATCGGGTCTTGAACAGGAAAACTGTGTGATAACAGGGGCTCAGGCCCGGACCGGATGTTCGGGAACTGACAGCCCTGCAAACCCTAGTCCATTGAGGGCCCTTACGAATTGCACAGACACGTCGGGCGGGGGCAGGTACCTGTGTAGTATATACTTGGGCCCTAAACCCTGTAAATTTCAGGGCGCCTCTGGACGAAATGAACAAGGGCTCGCCATTTCTCTGCCTTTGGGGTTCATGTTTTGGGAGAATCGTCTTGATGCAGTGCCGGTCGGAGCTTTGGGTAGGTTGATAAGTAGGTCTACAGTAGTTTAGGGTTTAGGTTTAGGGTTTGCCAGGGTACAGGTTGGGGTTACGAACATCATCCTGATTCGAGGATGCCGTGCACTTGCATGCGGCAGGTCTCCACACAGACAGCATTGAAAGAGCAAGTTTCCAAGCAGAATGAGCATAGGACCCCCACGCATCGGCGCAACGAAGCAAGGCTTCGAAGAGCATGACAGTGCAACTCAGGCTTGTGGGGTTGAAGCTGCGCAAACTGAGACAACTTTTTCAAAACTGCTGCTCCACAAGTAAGAGATTTTTCAGGGGCCCGTTGATGCAGCCATTCGGAAGCTGAAAAACAGTCGACATAAACTCCAGTGAAGCGGTGTTCTTTGTTTCAGACCAGAGCAAGCCAATCAGAAGCTGCAGCTCTCGAGGATTCAGATCTCGCTCTCTGGAGAAGTTTTCTGCGTGCTTCCTGCACGCCTGGCGCACGCCCTAAGATCTTTGAAGTTCCGCCAGCATGCCAGGATGGGTTACTGCTCCCCCCAATGACACCGTTACATCTCCCAGTCCCCTAATGTCGCTCCACTTGGCTTTGCAAGCCGTGTGCTTGAAAGGGGCCCCCCATTGCACTGCACCCGAAAGTTGAATGGCTACCCTCTTGAAGAGCATTGCTTAGGTACGAAGCAGCTCGACGAAGCCGACTTTCGGATTGCCTCTTGAGGCGAGCAAGCGACGACAAGGGACCAGGGCTCAGTGGTGATACGCGCGACGCCTTCAACTCCACCCTTCCCAAAGATGGAGAGCTTTAAACTTTAATCCCCCCAACAAAATCTTGGCAACCCGAAACACATGCAAACCAACACCGAAAACCGATAAACCCCAAACCCCAAACCCCAAACCCCAAACCCCAAACCCCAAACCCCAAACCCCAAACCCTAAACCCTAAACCCTAAACCCTAAACCCTATAGGTCAGAAGAGAGCCCGGGGCAGGTGGCGCCGGAGTACCGCGGTGAGTCGTGCGCACCGGTTCGACGCGTGGCCTGCCAGGCGAGCATCGGGAAGCTCGGTGAAGCTGCTTAGGGTTTAGGGTTTAGGGTTTAGGGTTTAGGGTTTAGGTTTAGGGTTTAGGGTTTAGGGTTTAGGGTTTAGGGTTTAGGGTTTAGGGTTTAGGGTTCAGGGTTCAGGGTTCAGGGTTCAGGGTTCAGGGTTCAGGGTTCAGGGTTCAGGGTTCAGGGTTCAGGGTTCAGGGGTAGGGTTTAGGGTTTAGGGTTCAGCTGTTCGAAGTTTGGGATCGATAGCTAGGTCTTCGGAACTTCGGATCGTTTCGGGTTTATGGGAAATTCTCAAGTAGAGGGGTTGGCAGTTCAGGGTTTACGCTACTTAACGTGTATGTTATGTAGGTTGCTGCTGCACTGCTTGACTTTTCTACTTTGGGCTTCATAGGTCTGTTGGTCAAGAAGGGTCTTTTTGAAAGTCTGGCGCCTCTTCAGACAGCCTGAAACTTTTTCCCGAGCATTGCACAATGCAATCACGCAGTGGCAACTTGGGAATATTATTTCCTAGGGGGATCTGAGAGCATTACAGGAGTGTCTTTGGCAGAGAACCCAGTACCCATAGTTACGGAAGACTCCACATGTTCTACAGCTCCGAATATCAGGCACCCATGGAGCCCAAAACCACGAACGAAGGAACCGTTCTTAATGCGCCAAATAGGATCCCTGGTGTATTCAAGCTAGTTTTTCCTTAGCTGGGGGATATTGGGCCCTCTGGGTACCTTCTGGGCCCCGGCAACCTGCACAGTCGAGGGGTTCTTTTTTGTGTGGGTCCCTGCCAATGCCTTTCGATGGTGCTTTGCGGTCTTTGTAGGAGACCGTGCGAATCAACGGTGCTGGGTGCCTAAGATGCACGACGCACGACCAACACCGTCACTGTCACACCACCACCAACCACACTACACTTGCACGAGTAACCAGTGACTCATTTTTGGATTTACTAGAACTCCATAAAATGGGACCTTGTGTGACTCTACTTCTATCTAATCAGGGGGTCCACGACACAGCAGAGCAAAAGCCAGGGTGCTGGATGCCTGGCGGCGCTGGGCCTCGGCAGCCATCCAGAAGTGCGGGACATGGAGTGCTCCTGAGTTTGTAGGATTTTAAGGGTTTAGGGTTTAAAATTTAGGGTTTAGGGAAGAGCGAAGTGTAGAGCTTTAAGAGCTTTGCAGAGCGAGCTACAGAGCATTGCGGGCTGCCTCGTCAGCCAAGCCGGCCTGACCCACGGCACGTGCACGTCGGCGGTGGTCCAAGCGGTGCACCTCGGACCAAGCGGTGCACCTCGGAGTTCCCAGTCTGTGTCGAGGACAGCAGCCGACCTGCAAACCCGAGACCTTGACCCCACAGTGTGGGTGAGCTTGGAGGATTTCTAGGGTGTCAGCAGGCGCTGCAAAACCTTCGGTGCCAAGTGCTTGTGCGCATGTTGCCAAGTGAAGCTTGGGTAGGGTGGCGGGAACTGCCAAGAAGTCAAGAAGGCCGCCTGCTCGAGGAGTTGCTCAAGCGATTCACTTAGCTCATGTTTTTTGCTCCCCGTCTGCGGCACCGCAGCCAAACGAATCTGGCAGCTCTCCGGGCGGGGGGGGGGAGGTTTGTGATGGATCCCTAAACCCCAAACCCCAAACCCTAAACCCTAAACCCCAAACCATTACGAAAGCCTTAGAGGCTCCAGCCTATGGAGCTTCAGGCGCCAGCGCGCGCATTCCGCCGCCGGCTTCGCAAAGGCCCGGCTGTTGGAGCGCTTCTTCAGCCCAACCCTCGGCTCCTCGGGGAGGCCTTTCGCGGTTGTCTACTATTTGCTTAAGAACCCCCCAAAAATAAACAACAATAATAATCATCATCATCATCATAATGATAGTCCGTATTTTACCCTTATAAGGAATAATATTTTTGTGGCGGGTTTCTTAAGCAATTGGTAGTTGTGCAAAGGTGGTTTGGGGACCCGTTGTTGTTGGGGGCTTAGGGTTTGGGATTTGTTGAGCGTGATTCACTATCAGGGGTTGGGGTAGAGGGTGTTAGTGACACGCAGAATCCAACCAAATGCTTCCTGAGACCCCTCACCCTTGCTATTTCTTTCCACTTCCCAACTCATTTTGGAAATTTGCTTTGCCACACCTTTCCTTATGTGGGTACCCATATTTCAAAGCGCTTTAAGTCTTGGGTTCTTTGAGACCTTGGCAAAATTCGTGGGTCAGAGGAGGCTCAGGGTCTGTCGATGGCTTCCACTCCCCACTCTGGTGGTTCAAGGGATCCAAGAGGTGGGGTAAACCGTAGGAGTATGAGGGTTTAGGGTTTAGGGTTTAGGGTTCAGGGTTTAGGGTTTAGGGTCTCCCAACCCCCCACCCCCTCCCTCGACCCCCCTGATCTCCCAAGTGTCTGAAAGCTCGTGCACGCGATTGTGATCTCTGTTTGCAATCACATGTCTCTACCCTGATGGCTCACCAAGAAAGGTTGTAAACGGTGCCTTGTGCCAGTTTTGGGGCTGCAGTGTGTCTGGAATAACCCTAAACCCTAACCCTAACCCTAAACCCTAAACCCTAAACCCTAATAAGCTGCCCACATCCCGAGGCCATTGGGCCATTGCGAAGCACTGTGGTCGTCTGCGCCGCTGGGCATTCCAGGCCCAGTGCGTGGCCAATGCTACGAAGTCGCGGAGCTCCTGGCCCCCCCCCCGGGTTTAGGGTTGAGGGTGTAGGGTTTAGGGTTTAGGGTTTAGGGTTTAGGGTTTAGGGTTTAGGGTTTAGGGTTTAGGGTTTAGGGTTTAGGGTGCCCAACAGGTGCCCCGCTACTGTGCGGCAACGCCGGGGGCTGAGTCGCTGTGGGCAATGAGCTTCCTAGGTTGATTGTTGAATGGTTTGCATTCGGTTGGGGGGGGGGGGGGCAACGCATTTCTGTAGCTGCAACTCAATTAACCGAGAAACCATGGTAAACCCGTAACTTTGCCGATGTAGCTTCTGCTTCGATTGTAGAAGTGGGGTGCGGTCTGAAGATGAGAGCATGCAGCGGACACAATATACATGTACATATAACTACACTGAGTACATACTACATACATAGATAGATGGGTAGATCGATAGATAGATAGATATAAGCATGCTTTTGGCAACCTCGCCGTTCTCAATGTCCCCGTGCCCTCCCGTACCATGTGACGGCCTCAGGCTGAGACGGCGGCAAGAAGTGGACGTCGAAGCGCCCCTGGGGCTTTGACTTTACAGTTTTTTTTTGGATATAAGGATGGGCTACTAGGGGTTTTGGGGCCTAGGGGCTGTGGGGTTGTAGGGTCTGCAATGCCTTTAAGCCATATCAAGGCTGAGTACCTTCACTTTGCACCTGAACTGAAGCAACCACACCACCAGGATGGGCGATGAGACCCTCTAACCCTTAAAAAAGGGGCCTTCGTAGTTCTGTTTATGGGGGTGTAGGGCCGAGCAGCCCATCCTGGCACACACCAAAAATCGTCATCCCATAGAGCCCTCTCCCCCCCTCTCCCCCAGTCACTTCCCGCTGAGGCCGAACCCCACGGCGCTGTGGACCAACGCGCTGAGGGTTGCGCGACTTCCTTGTGCTTCGGCGGCCTAGGTGTCTGGCTTTATACGGGGGCTTCGGGGCCCCGCCGCCCGCAGGCCTCTCCATGACCACACCTTCGCAAGCACGAGCACGGAGAGCCCCAGAACCCTCAAACCCTGAAAGCCTCAAACCCTAGAACCCTCAACCCCAAAAACCCTCAAACCCTAAAACTTGCCGGACCCTGAGATCCCGAAGCTGAAAGCCTCAGCAGAGAGCTGAGACAACGCTTCGCCCTGGTGCCCCAAGAGTACCGCCTTATCAGAAGGCAGCCCGATCCTGATCGAAGGAGACTGGCCTACCCTTCCCCCCCCTCCCCTTGTCATAGTGGGTAACATTTCGCAATCTTTAAGGTTTTTTCTTTTAATGGTTACTTAATACTCAACAAGGACAAGACATGTAAGTTTTTCAATACTATCCCAACCATGATCCAGCTCCCCTCCCCTCCGCTAGGCCAAGATAGCTCTACGCATCTTGAAATCTTGGAGCCCTCATGGTCGCTCGGAGCCCCTGATAGGACCTAAAACCTCCTGACTCACCCACACTTGCAGGTTCAGGGGTACTTTTCACTGTAGGTTTAGGGTTGAGGGTTTAGGGCCTAGGGTTTGCGGTTTTAGGGTAGTTACAAGCCCTTTAGGCAGTTGAGTGCGGCCATATCGGCAATCAGTGAAGGGAAACACAGAAACATGTTGCTGGCTACCTATGTTCTTGCGGCCGAAGCCGCATCGATCACATCAAACTATGGGGAAGCCCGCGAGGATTCAGAAACCGGGTTTGGAAGGGCCAGGAGTACGAAAGCATTAGGCAGCAAACAGGCTTGCTGTAGAGCTTTGATCAACGACGTGGGCATCGGACTGTGGCCCAAGGCCAGGGGGTTTACAGAGCCGGGGTCCGCAGAGCCTTTCGGAAGAGAAGGGTGGGGGGCATGAAAACAGTCATCCGCAGTCATCTTCGTCACTTCATCATCGTCAGTTGTCTATTCTCAGATAGTGACAGTTGCCGCAAGACAACCCCTTGTAAGTCAGTACCCTTTACGGGACCCTCCCCTCTCACAATAAGGTACGTTCGGGGTGTCAGAAGGGTCTGCGGCCACCCTTTGCAGACTTTGCGAGGGAAGCGCAAAGCCGGCTCTAAAAAGCTGCGCGGGCTCGGAGGGGCTTCGGTTTTGATAGGAGTGTTAAAGCTTTGTGAGAGGGTTTCAGAATATGTAGAGGGGTGAGGGCGTGAAATGACCCTTAAACCCTGGAGACCTTAAAAGCCCTGATGAGGGTTGGGGTGGACTTGTGCTGTCGCTGTGCCTGGCCTCGAGGGCAGCTTCAAGAGGATCACCGCCTTTATACCGTAAGAAACACAAACCCTATCTTCGCGTAGGTGAATGGTAGAAACCCCCTTTCTTCCGAAACCGACGAAAAGGTAGGCTTTGCGGTTCTACGGTAAGGCTTCAAAGGTATGGGTAGCTTCATGAAGTTTTTGTTCTTGAGGTCCGATCTTGATTTCGAGACGTGAGGAAGGACGGCCCCCACCTCGCTCCCCTCAAAAGCATACTCTGTCCCGCTTTGGGGGGTTTTCATGCATGATGCCTCTGACGCTGATCGCTGCATCTGACATGGCTACAAACGCAGAGAGCTCAATGTCCCTGGATAGCTTGAGTTCAACTTGCGGTAGATTCCCTGTTCAAGGGGTATTGGGCACTCTGGCAACTATTTTCTGCCTGAACCTCCCAAGTTTGCAAGCGAACAGGCCAGACCCAAATGGGGCAAAGGGATTTGGCACCGGATCGCCACATCAGGCCATTTCAGATGCCTTTCCCTAAGCGCGCCAAATTTCTGCACTCGCAGCCATATTTTGCTCGATGGGCCGAACTGTCTGCAAAGGATTGCGGGTCACCCAACGCCACCTCCCCTCCCAAAAACCGTGTTGCATATACATGTCAACCTAAGCCCTAGACCTTAAAGGCCCTACAGGCCCTAAACCCCCTCAACCCGAAACCAGCCTTCCAATCGGTCCCCAGCTTCAGATGCTGCGCAAAATCCGATGGCGGCCATGGTCGCCCTCCAGACGAGGCCACCCTAAACCCTAAAGCCTGAACCCCGAAAGCCTGAGCCCTCAGCCCTAAGCCCTAAGCCCTAAGCCCTAAGCCCTAAGCCCTAAGCCCTAAATAAACCCTGAGCCAAGGGAAACAGCCTTAACCCTCAGTGTTTGGCTGGGTATTTCCCCCAAGGGTACCCCTTATACACCATGGAAAAGCCTCAGATGTTTTTGTTAGAAGAACCCCCAAAAGGCCATGCAACCCTAGTCGCGCCAGTAGAACAGGCGGGTGGCACAGCCACGGAGCCAAAGACCTGGTTGGGTGACAAGGGGGCACCCTTTTCGTTTCTGCCTTACTCTGGGGTCGAGGTATTGGGGAGCATGAGCCCGTACAAAGAAATAATACCCTCTACTTCCAAAATCTTGGGTGCTTAGGGCCTCTGGGAACCTAGAAGGTTGTACCTGCTTTAGTGTGTACCCTATGCCCTATACCCTCAACCCTATAAAGCCTAAGTTTCATGCTCTGTCAAAAGTTCGTGATGAACAAATGCGAAGAATCGCCACAGCCCAGCAGGTCTTGCTGCCGCAGCGCTCGGGACGCTCGCGGCCGCGTGGCGATGCAAGCAGTCTCACGTAGGTCTGGATTTGGGGAGCTCCAAGCCCTTCAATCCCGCTTAGGTCCTTGAACCCTCCAGCCCCCTTAAGTCCCTGGACGCCTTCAGGCGCCCAAGCCTTAAAATTTGCCATCGTTTTTGTTCAGCCCATATGCCGATCTGGAACTTCGTTGATGCTTGACATCGAGCCGATAAGACGAGAAGAAAGATCAGCATCTTCGGAAGGGATCGCGCATCGATGCTTCTTCCCAGGGGCTTTGGAAATTCTTCGGGCTTGGCAAACTCAAAAAACCCTATGAGCCCTATGGACCCCTACTGTATAGACCCTTAGACCCCCAAATCCCCAAAACTCTATATCAAGAGACCCGGAAAACAACATAACCCCCCCCCCCCGAAAAAAAAAGAAGCTAAAATCGCTATAGAAACTCCCTAGACACCCTATAGAAACCCCACAGAAGCCGTCAAAAGAACCTTAAACCATAGAACCCCCCCCCCCTCCCCCCCCCCCCCTCCCCCCCCCCCCCCCCCCCCCCCCTCCCCCCCCCCCCCCCTCCCCCCCCCCCCTCCCCCCCCCCCCCTCTCCCCCCCCCCCCCCCCTCCCCCCCCCCCCCCCCCCCCCCCCCAAAAAAAAAAAAAACGCTAAAGTCGCTTTAGAAACCCCCGAGACACCCTAGAGAAACCCCTACAGAAGCCGTCAAAACAGCCCTAAGCCATCAGGGCAGATTTGCTCAGACCCGAGGCCGCCTTCCAAAGGGCCCTGGACTTCCCTTGGGCGCAGCCTGGACCTCCAGCTTCCCGAAGCTCTCGTTCGGGTGGTGTGGGGTTTAGGGTTTAGGGTTTAGGGTTTAGGGTTTAGGGTTCAGGGTTTAGGGTTTAGGGTTTAGGGTTTAGGGTTTAGGGTTTAGGGTTTAGGGTTTAGGGTTTAGGGTTTAGGGTTTAGGGTTTAGGGTTCAGGGTTCAGGGTTCAGGGTTCAGGGTTCAGGGTGCAGGGTTTAGGGTTTAGGGTTCTGGGTTTAGGGTTTTAGGGTTTAATTGGGTTTAATTGGGTTTAATTGGGCTTAGGAGGGGTTTCTAGGGGTAGGGGGTGAAGAGGGGTGAATGGGGGTTTATAGGGGTTGGTAGGGGTTTATGGATTCAGGCCTTTGGTTTGGGACTGAGGGTTTGGGTGTTTGGCGGCTCTTGGATTCCAGGTTCTTCTTCATGGATTTTGGGCTTCGGGGTCTATAGGGGTGTCTGGATTTCGGGCTCAGGGCGGTAAAGAGTTTTTTGGGGTTTGGGGTTATAAGGGTTGTAGGCTAGGGTTTGTTTGGGGGGGATGCTTTTAGGGTGGGGGGGGTGGTGGTCGGGAATGTGGCAACCCTTCAGAAGCCTACTTGACCCAACACAAGGGATAGGCCCTAGAGACCCCCAGCATAAGCCCTGATCCCGCGTTCGGTGTTACGTAGTTATCCGCGCTTGGGGCTTTTTTTGGGTTCAGGGTTTAGGGTTTAGGGTTTGGGGTTTGGGGTTTAGTTAGGTTTTAGGTCGAATCAGGGCCCACGTCTGGCCCCGGGCGCTCACCCTCAGATGGATTGTTAAAAGGGGCCCTCATGGGAACAGCAAACCGGGGAACCACAAGAATGTAGTAGGAATATAAAGGGAATCGAAGGACCCCCCGTAGGTTCCCATTCTATACTCCTACTACATGCTTGGGGTTCCCTGATTGGGGTTCCCATGAAAGTGCCGGGGGCAGAGTGGGGAACCCGATCATCTTCTTTGGTACCCTCTTCTGAAGAAAAGGCCATACTCTGACTGTACCTAAGGATTTAGGGTTGTACTTAAGGATTTAGGGTTTAGGGCTCTTGATCCCCCCCCCCCCCTAAAAAAAAACTGAACCCTAAGCCCGAAAACCCTAAAGCCCTTTCAAGCCTCGGAAGTGGAGGCCGAGCGTGGTGTACGGACACCGCTTCAAGCCCCGGCAGCTACCGGAGGGCCTCAGGCAGGGGGTTTAGGGTTTAGGGTTTAGGGTTTAGGGTCTAGGGTCTAGGGTGTAGGGTTTAGGGTTTAGGGTCAGCAAGACTCGGCAGAGAAGGCAGCTCGGGATCCGCCCAGTATACTACCTTCTGCACTGGGAACTGTTCTTTAACAAAGGCAGCCAAGCTGAAACGACTCGTGTGGCAGGACAGGCCGTCTACCAGGAACAGAAGCATGTGGGGGGATCCGTAGCATCAGAGGAACCTTAAACCCTCATCCTCAAACCCTAAAATGAGAGGCCCATGTCCAGTGTCAACGGGGTTTCTAGGGTCTGAGGGTTCGAGGGCTTCAAGGTTATAGGGTTTTGGGTCCCGAACTTGCCCTGTAGTCTGAAAACGAACCCTAAACCCCAAGCCCTAAGCCCTAAACCCTAAACCCGCAACTTCGAGGCTGACTGTCTGCAACATTCATTGTCATTTCAAGGTCGTCTGGCGCCACGTCGAATAAGTAAGGGCAGATTGAAAAATCCCCCTTGCAATCCACGATTATGCACATTCTTGAGCGAAAGAAACAGCGTCGACCGACGGCAGGTTCATAAGTGACTTGGGGGTGGAGGTATATAACCTCTAAACCAAGCCCGGACACAGGTATTGCCCCGATTTCATCAGCGAGGTGGAAGAGCGGGAACTGGACGAAGTGCTGTCCAACGGACCGTGGTGGGTCGGCCCAGCTGTTCAGAGAGTTATGCCTTTTTTTTTGGGGGGGGGCGGGGGGGGGAGAGGGAGGTTCAGATTTCGAGGGTTTCGGGTTGTAAGGTTTAGGATGGAAGGTTTATAGGGCTTGGGCTACCCAACATGGGACCCTGCTTTTGAAAAGTGACCGCGTGGCTATATGGAGCAGGGGAGGAGGTTTCTATGGCCTGGCCCAGTTTAGCGGCTGATTGTTGATGCTACCATCCTCGGTGTAGGGTTCGGGTTTCTGCTGCATTTGAGGGCTCAGGGTTTAGGGTTTAGGGCTCAGGGAGGTTGCGTGAGGCCTACAACCAAAGAAACCAAGAGTTGCAACCCAGGTTGAGGCACATCAAAAGCCGGGCGCAGCAGTTTTTCGGCCTGGTCTACTACCAGCGGCCTGGCGGTGAACCTGTTGCTGCTTGCGGATGGAGGAGGTTCATGGGTTCGTATAAAGAAGCCATAGAAGCCTTATAATAAGGCTGTGTATGACCAAAAAGTATTTCTACCCTACTTATAACCCTACTTACGAGAACCGATGAACCTCCAAGTAGGGGGCAACTCGCTTGGCTGACTGCATCACTGTTCAAGTGCTGATTGGTAGAGAGAACTATCTTAAATTTTCATCCTGGGCCCCAGCCGATCCATTCTCGTCAAAGCTTGGGTGCCAGCCCGCAAAACCGTCCTTGCAGACAAGCTTTGCGGCTCTGCCCTGGGTCCTGCACACGTTCCGTGCTCGAAATCGTGCTCCCATCCACTGGTCCCGTGCACTTTTTCAGGCTTGCGCATATATTCGTGTCGCGAAAACGTGGAAGGCGCGTGCTTTCCTGCATTCTGGCCTCATGAATGCGCTCGTTTCGCGGTGTCACAAAAATGCGCTCGCGCCTCGGTGGTCACGGAGGGGTCTCGGAGTGCTTCCGGAGTGGTCTTGAGCGTGTCTTGCACTGTTGGGGATCGTTCAGGACCCCTGTAAGAAGCCAAGGACCACCCAGAAGATCCCAGCCCTGCAGCCCTCCGAGACATCCGCACATCGCGAGGCCTGCAAGGATTGGATAGGATTCGTGCATGGCTTACGGGGATCTAAAGGATTTGGTTATAAGGTTTCAGATTCAGGGTTCAGGGTTCAGGGCGTAGTGGCTTAGGGTTTCGGGGTCTACAGAGTCTACCGGATGTTCTCTGGACTCCCAAAGTCCCAAAACTAACGTGCTTGGAGCTTCCCTGGTACTTCTCCGCGGGGCCTAGAAGTGTGCCCTAAATACGGCCAGAGCCACCTGTGACCCTTAACAACCCCTACTTATACACCCTAAACCCTTTAACCTAATTAAGCCCGAAACCCTAAATCCTACGGTCCTACAGTAAACCCTCAACCCTACACTCTACTTGTAAGTGCCCATGAACTTCCGGGTGCCAACTCAGAACTCTTTAGCCCGCAGAGCGAAAATCATTCACAGAGCGACAGGTTCTGCCCTTGGGTTGCATGGACTGAGGCTCTATTATATATATATATACACAATACTATTACATTTCAATTATTCAATATATCACATATATTTGTATATGATAGATTTTTTGTTATAAAAATATGCACGCTTGGCCCCTCTCAAGCCCTACATATCCGCAGCGGCTGCAGCGCTAGGCTCGTCCCATGGAGGAGCTGCCCGACTGGCTGCTGCGCCTCTGCTCTTCAGACAAGTAGGGGGCCCCCTTACTATAAAATCACTGTAAACTTACGGGGCTTAGTTTATGACCTAAATTCGAAGACTTCAGATACCCAATCCGGGGGTCCTGCCGTGTACTTGTACCTAGGGGCCCCTACATGTAGCAAGAGTCAGAGGCTTCGGAGTTGTGTTTCCGAAGCCCAGCAGGCTTCAGGGTGTAAAGTTTCGGGTTGGAGGGTTTCAGGCCCAGGGCGGGGCCATACTTGGCCACTGAAGAGACGGCTTGCTACGTCCCTTCCGCCGAGGCAGCGCGTGCTCGCCACCGGTGCCTTCCCGCGGGAGGGCGAAATCAACCAGGCTTGTCGCCGGTACCTGGTTGAACACTTGCTTAGATTGGGCGGTTATCTCGGCGCATGGCGCTTTGAGGCTGACGTAGCCCTAAACCGCACACAGCTGGGGCAGGTGGCAGCCAACGAGTACTTGGACAGAGCAGGCGCGAACCGTTCCCAATCCGTGTGCCGGAGTTTGTTGACATTCAGGGTGTTTTTGCGCAAGTGATTTTTTGAAAGCTTCTAGGAGGGTTCAACAGCTGGCTGCAGTGCGACTTGAGTTGGAGGCTCATGTAAGTAACCGTTGCTACATAGAAAGCCCGGTCAGACATCGTGTTAGCAGAAGCAAGCATTAAGAGTTAAACCCTGATCACATTCCGTGAACGAGCCCGTGGACCACCAGATTGCCCCACATAGGGGATACAACGGGCGTTTGGAGTAGTTAGTGGAAGCACTTGCGCTCGCCAACTCGGCAGATATTTGACAAGCGACCACGGGTCGCGACAACGACGCCTGAGAGCAGCCCCGAAAACTCGACACTTTGGAACCCACAGCGCGCGTGATAAGCCTTGCTGGAGGACGCCTGAAGTCGCCTGAAAAAGCCCCGAATCCAGCGGAACGCTGCAGGCATCTCCTCCCACGTAGAAGAGCCCACAGCCTTCGGCGCGAACCTTGCCACGCTCTCGATGCATGTCTGCAGGTTTCTTGGGGCTCTTGCAAGGTCTTTACCTAACTTTACCTTGCCCCAAACGCATCGTTTGTAGGTTTCCGAAGGATGCTTCTCAGGGGCTTCACGATGATCTGCAGAAGAAGGAATGGCTTGGGGTTGAGGTAAGGGTTTGCAAAGTTTCCAGGGTGCAAAGATTTTCCCCCCATATTTGGTGGGCCTTCAGAGGCCCTCGAGTCGAGGGGTCTAGGTTTTGGGTTTAGGGTTTCCGGTTTCGGGTTTAGGGTTGGAGCTTTGGCTACTCAAGGTGGATTGCGGGTGTGCTAGAGTTTTGGGCCTGTAATTAGGCCCTATAAACCCTAAACCCTACTGCCCCCTCACTGCGCCCTGTAGCCGCAGCCTGCATGCCCTTTGCCCTGAGGATGCTCTCACCGGTGCAGATGACGCTAACTCCCGCAGAAGAGGCGCGAGAAGCCCTAATAGACCCTAAATCCTAAACACCTCAAAAACGAAGCCCTAGGCCCTACAACCCTCCAATTCTGAGCCCAACCGCGGATGAATCTATGGGTCGGTCTCTATCCTTGGATCGCTGCTTTGATCTTTTATGATTTAGGGCTTAGGGTTTAGGGAGTTTAGGGGTAAGAGGGTTGCTGTGCTAATAAATCGTGGCTTCTTGCTGTGTTGCCAGCACTCTTCGGACGCTAGCCGTTGCCAACGCTGTAGCAGGCTCCCTAAACCCCCAGTTCTGACCCAGTTCTGCTTCCAAGCGTACTCTTCTCGAACCTCTCGACATCTGGCGGAGGATCTGCACGGACGGGATGGCCTGGATCATGGAAACTGGGCGACTGGCCCCAGGTGAGTGTTGCGAGGTTGTCGTCATTTAGGGTTTAGGGGGCCTCGAAACTGCAACTAACGCCCATGCCCCAAGGTCAAACGCTCCATCTGTCAGTTTGTTTGTCTTGTCTTCCTTCATTTTATGACCTGGCAACATTCAGCTCCCCAATCCCCAAGTCCGAACCTAAAAAGCAATGCAGGGCCGAAATCCGTAGCCATCATCAGCCTATTCTCTAGACCCCCTAAACCCTCAACCCTAAACCCTAAGCCCTAAACCCTAAACCCTAAACCCTAAACCCTCAAGCTCTCCATCCCCAGCCAAGTTAAGGTCAAAGTCCTCCTGGAGCCAAGGAGCCTCCTGCTGCTTCAAGGCCGCCCCAGGAACCTGGTTGGGGGTTTGGGGTTGAGGGCTCTCCGGGATACTGGGCCCGTCTTGGGCACAGCCTCCCATGCTTGTGCTTCGGGGGGTGCCCAGAAAGGGGGCCAAGATTGAGAGAATTGCCTTGGGTTTCGGAAGTTGTTGTGAATATAGAAGAATATAGGGGTTGTTGGGGTTGAAGTTTTGGGGTGTGGGGTTCTAGCTCTTTGTGAGCCATACTCTTGACTGGGCTCTTGAGCTGCATACACCAACCCTGAAGCCTACTAAAGTCTAGGGGTCGGAACAATTACTAGTAGTATTCCCTTATGGTCCCTTTACAATTATACTACAATAACCCCCCCCCAAACCCTATTCTAATTATTCAGGCCCCTCTACTGAAACCCTAAAACCGGGAGGTGAAAGTCGCTACGAATACCGCCACGGCATTCGCCGCTCGAAGCTGGCAGCGACCTTGGGAAGACTGGAGTGAAGAGAGTAACTTAAACCCTAAACCCTATAACCTATAACCCTATAACCCTATAAACCTATAACCCTATAACCCACAAACCCTAAACCCCCAATATGGGCGTAGCCCATAAACCCATGAAGCCGAGCCTCAACCCCTCAGCCCAGTTCAACATCAGTATAATGGCGGGAAAGGGGCAGTGGGTTTAGGGTTTTAGGGTGTTAGGGTGCTAGGGTTCCAGGGTGTTTGGGTGTTAGGGCCTCTGGGTTCCTTTTGTGTTTCTTCGTTTCAGGTCCAGCTCGCGGACGGCCAAGTCCTGCGAAGAGATGAAGGCAGGGTTTGGCGCAGGAAGGGCCAAAACACTGGAATTTGCATAATTCGGGTTATATTTCTTTCATGAGCGTTGAATGATTATTGGTTTTGAAAGAGGTTTAATATGTACATATATATATATTTATTTATTTAGATCAGGAAAACCATATTACGTTTACTTAGTTGTTTTGGTGCATGACGTGACACATTCATTCTGCAGGAGCAGTAGCAGTAGCAGGAGCAGTTCCTACTGCGTAGTAGAGCTACCAGCACTGCCTACGCGGTGGCTTAAGTAAGACACCCTCGGGAAGAATGCGCTTCCAGCCGTTCTAAAGGTTACCGTCGCGTGTCGCTCACCTTTCGCGAGCTACTCGAGAGCCGAAGACACTTGGCCCAAGTGCAGGGTTTAGGGGGTTTAGGGTTTCGGGTTTAGGGTTCGGCTGGTGCTTGTAGTGTAAGGGTCTCAAGGCAGGGAACTCAGAAACATAGCGCTTTGGGATTCACACGGCTCCCTTCCCTCGAGCACTGCCCGTACTGAATCTGCAGGACAGCTCTGCCAGACGGACGCTGATGTCGCGGAAGTCGGTTGGCTTTCGCGCGCGAAAAAAGAGCTGGACTCACATCGTTTCAGCTATGTCGCCTCGGCTGAGCCATCAATCGGTGCCTAACTCTTTAAGCTGTGGTGTTGTTTGAGTGGCCCAAGTACCCTAAACCCGAAACCCCCAAAATCCCGAAAACCCTCTGAGATGGAGGCTCTGAGACCTGGGAATTATTTTGTTCATTTTTGTTCATATAAAACCCAAGAGGATATTAAAGATATTATTGTTCTAAGGGGAGTATAGTAATGAGGAATCTCATACAAGGGACCATGGCTCTTCACCTCATGCTCGCCCTTGTCGACCCCAGGGTCAGAGGGTCCATGCAGCCCGTACGTTTCGACTGCCACAGTAGGGTTTCGGGTTTAGGGTGTATCGGGTTTAGGGTTAGGGTTTGGGGTTCTAGGGTTAGGGTTTTGGGTTTTGGGTGTTGGTTTTGGGTTTGGCAAACCCTTGCACCACACTGGGCAAGGGTGGCGATGCGAACCGTAGGCATGCTTGCATCTGGAAGCCGGGGAGTTTACGTGGCTCAAGACGCGGATCAGCTTGTGTCAGGTGAGCTTCACGCTTACTACAGCCCCTTTTGGAAATATTTTCATGTTTATTATGAAAAATCGTATTTTCATAAAGTTTCTATGGGGAGAGCTTGGCAGCCGTCGCGTACAGTTAGGCTTCCCTAAACCGCCCAAGTCCCAAACAAATAACCTCTAAACAATTAAACCCCAAAATAACCGCGAAACAAATCAACCCCGAAATATCCCCTAAACCACCAACCCCCAAACCCCTCGACCCAGACAGCCCACCTCCGTTCACAAAGCCTCCCCAGCGCCCTTTCCCAGCGCGGACCTATGAAGCCGGACCCTGCTGCCTCGAAGGACCAGCCGAGGCAGATCTGGGCTTCAGGTGAGGGCTGGGAAAGTGTAGATGAGGGGGTGTTAGGGGTTTGTAGGGTTTGGGGCCCTGTAATTGCTGTTGGCGCAGTGTGGGGGCTTTTGTTGTGGAAGACGTGCGCGCTGCACGCCCCCTGCCTTGCACAGGTACTCGTCCGACAGGTCCCGGCCCACATCCAGGCACAATGCCGAGGCGCGCCGACCTCTCCGAAATTATTACTCGTAGTATTCCCTTATGGTCCCTCTAGAATGCTGCCACAATACCCCCCAAATCCTATTCTAAGTATTAAGGCCCCTATATTATACTGGGTTGATAGATAGACAGCGCGTACCCGCAGTATGAAGTAGCTCAATAAATACAAAGATATACGAGAGTCAACCTTTATCATAGTGTATGGTACATTCGATTTGTGCAAATTATATCATCGTTGTAGAACATATAAACGCATCAAGTATGAAGGGTAGAGTATATTGAGCACTAGATGTATATATTATGTATATATATATATATACAATATGAAAACACCAAAACTATATGTGTACACATGTATATATATATATATATACATATACATATATATATATATATATATGGAAACAAGTATTTCTCATGTTGTCGTATATAGATATGGAGTTAGTTAGTATATCGGCCGTACAATAAGTCTTATACACAAGGTCATGTACAATGGAATACATTTTCGCATATCTAAATGACCTGTACCACGCACTACATCGTAACGAAATATAGTTCAAACACAGAATATACAGTGGTATCGCATAGTAGAAGATATTAAACCAACATCATTGTGTGGGTTGTGGTTGACATTGGCATCGTATTTGTATTTGTTTTGTTTTTCGTTGGAATTGTAGTTGTATTGTACTGCACAGAGTATTGTATCTCTATGTATATACTCACATGCACATACGCACATCATACATGCCTCTATAGCAGCCACTGCAACCACGCCATACATGCATGTGTATATATATATATATATTGGTCTCTTCTGCCTATGTTTTGTAATAAAGTGGGAGGGTGGGTTCACGTAGGCCGCTGGCTTCGGCCGCCACGTCGCCCTGTGCGGGCCTGGCGCCCTCCTCGAGCTGAAGCCGCCGAGGATGCTGCACATGTGGAACCGACCTTGAGAAGATTCATGACTCCCAAAACCTACTTTTTTTGTAGGTTGCCTAAAGTTGTGGGATGTATGTATGTTTTGGAGCGGCAGGGAACGGTGCATACGTGATTCTTTGGCATGCATCTCTTCCCGAAATCGGCTCAAGGGTTAAGCACCTACGGAACTACAAGGGCATGTTGGCTTGGGCCCTGTCTATGGTGGCACCTTGTTCCATGTGAGAGACACTTGCGAAAGCCTCATCCATGAAGGACGTCGGACACTACGAAGCCAGGCCAGGATTATTGCGTTCTTTAAACATGAAGGCTTCGGTTTGAGTTTGGAGTGGCGGGGCTGTGCTACCATGTGCCGTCACTGCTCTCTCAAGGCTCCTGGAACACAGTACTGTGCCACTCGCACGGAAGCACGGGGCACATTTGCCGCTGGAGGTACTGTAGCGGCTGTAGCTATGACTGCTATATGCGCATTATTCACTGCCTTTACTACAAGTTCAGTTGACCCTCTGCTGTGTGTGCCAGGTGCATGGTCAGCCAAAGCAAGCACAAAGTTGCCGCGACCAGAAGAGGCCCGGCCGGGGCGCACCGGCTTGTTAGTCAAGGGCGCCTGAAGGAAGTGGACTTGGCCTGGTTTGTGCCGCCGCTAGATTTTTTTTCCGCCGATTGGGGTCCGCCGCCAGGTGCCGGCCTTTGTGATCCCACGCACGGCGGAGGCGCGAACAGAGCACGAGAGCAACAACTGCATCATATCTCTGACAGAGGAGGTTTTTATGCATTTCAGGTGCCAGAAACCCTTGGCCTCCAGACCTCAACCCTCAATCCCAATGCTTCGAGGGGAGCCCCCGGAAGCCTTGCCAAACTGGGCCAAGCCCAGAGTCCCGATCCTGGGCGAAAGCCTAAACTCCTAACGCCCCTAAAATCTCCAATCCCCAAAACACCCTCAGAAGCCGATAGACCACCATTGTAAGATCACAGACGTTTTGTCGTGAGGACAAGCTCCAGGTGGAGGCAGAGGCCGCCGCTTTGGCTTTGCTCCGCGGCGCTGGGAGCGAGGCTTGTGACAAGACGCGTGTTGGGTGCAAGGTTTGGGGTCTAGGGCGCGTTGGGTTTAGGGTTCGAGGGTTGAGGTTCTAGGGTTTCGGGTGCAGCCCCCCCAGCAAGATTCCACCCCAAACCCGCCGCGCGAGGTGGGCGTCAGTCAGCAAGCGGCTCGCCGCGACTCCTCCAGGCCAGAATTTTGGGGGTGCGCGGATTTCGGGTGTAGGGTATCGAAGGAGGTGTAGGAGTTTAGGGTAATGCGGGAATTCAGAGATGTAGGGTTGAGTGATCTCAGGATGTAGGGCTTAGGAATTTAGGGTTTCAGGGTCCTGGATTTAGGGGAAGCAGGCCCCTGTATGAAGAACCCGGAAGCAAGGGAGCAATTCATTCAATAGATTCGCCCTAAACCCCAAAGCCTAAGCTCTGCGTTAAGGGACTGACTTTAGGGCTTTTTGCGGGGTTTCAGACTTGCGGCTTCAGGTGTTTTTGGGCGGAGGGTCTAAAGGCCATAAGGGTTTAGGGTGCTCGGTCTTCTGTGTTTGGGGGTTACAAGGCTGGCTTCAAGTGGAGTTATGCCGCGCCTCTGAGCGTTTTAGAAAAGCCATGAAATAGTATGAACTAAGGTGAACGAGTATCAGAAAGTCTAAGTACGGAACAGTAAGCAGCCACAAAGCCCCGTCTCTGATCTGGAGATGCTCTTCGGACTCATCGCATGTGCTCTCAGTTCTCATGCTCCTGGCTGCTCATCCGACGGGGTGGAATTAGGTACCCCCTCGCCCAACAAGAAAGCCTCTATTCCTATTTAGTATGGTACGTGGAACCTCATTCTGTAATGGAGCCACAAGTGGGCCCTTTGAATGAAGGAAGCAGTGCATTCGCCACGACTCATGCGGCAGAAGTAACTGCACTTAGCCTCCCTGCCTTGCGCCGCAGCCGGTCTGGAAGAGCGACCCTGAAGCAGCTTGCGAAGGCGACGGCCACAGGCCCCCCCTCCCATCAGCAAGGAGGTTCCCTTTCTGTTGGGTTGGGCAAAAGATCGTGAGGCTTCCAGGTGAACAGCTTAAGTTCGGGACTGGACGTACTGTGCATTGTGCTCACAGAGGCCATGTTGCTTGAGCTCAGCAGCATTTGCATGGATTCAAGGGTCATGTCCCACAACTGCATGCTCAGCACCGAGCTTCGAGAACCAGCGCAAGAGCAGCAACACCACCGAGGCGGCACTGCCTCCACCATTCTTCCAAGGAAGAAGGAAGTTGCAGAGATGTCCTGAGCCATGGGGTCTGGCAAGTCCGGCAAGGATGACAAGTTCGCACGATGGTTCAAAGCCAAGAGGTCCGGAGGCACCGGCGGGGGCCGGAGCAAGGGTCAGGGCAACTTGGTCCTCAACTGCGGCCCTCAACCTCTGAATTCTGCAAGCCGCCCGCATGAGTCCCTGTGGATATCATAACTTCTACAATTCTGGCGGCGAAGCGCCCTTCTGTTGAGCCTCTCCGGGCCCAGTGTTACGCAGCCGAGGCAAGGGCAAGAAGGGCAAGGGCGCCAAGGATGGGGACAAAGGAGACAAAGCATCTCCAAAGGCTCCCCTTCCTAACAAGAAAAAGCGAAAGTCCGACTTGTTGGAGCCGGAGGAGGGCGTTAGTGCCAGCCTGTTGCTCGGGTGCTCTTGGGAACCGCCTATGGCCTTTTTTTGTTGCGCCCTTTTACCAGGATAGGAGCTTCAGATTGTAAGAGCGCAGCATGCCAGGAGGGATGGTAGGACCAGGTAGTATGGCACGTATGAAGCAAAAGCCTGCCACGACACTAAGGCGGCAGAAGCTGTTGGCCACAAAGCAGCGGCTGCTGGCCGGCAACGCGGAGGCAGCCCGCGCGGGGGTGGTGCAGGCGGGCTTGGGAGGGCACCCCAAGCTCTATAGCCCTATAGCCCTGAAACCCTGTAACCCTTTAGCCCCGAGAATCCTATAACCCTATAACCCTAAATGAAACCCCAAAAACCTACAATCCTATAACCTTGCAACCTAATGAACCCTGAGGCCGAGCCTGGGGCCTGGGCCGCCATGCAAGCGGAGCGGGCGGAGCGGGCGGAGAAGTCGGAAGCCGGCGCTGGGAAGGGACGGGGGAAAGGGCGCCTCGGTCTGAGGTGGGTCTTGGTGATTGTCGCTCTGTGTGTGTCTGTGTGTGTGTGCTTTTTTGGCGGGAAGGTTGGGGAGGCCGGGGGAGGAGCGGGGGGAAGTTTTGTGTTTTTCCCATGCTGGTGATCGGTATTTTGGGGGTGGGGGGGGAGGGGGGTGGTGGGGGAGGGGGCGGTGGGTTGGGATTGCTTGTCGGGGCTTTGTGGGGGTTTTGGAGTGTCGGGATTCTGTTGTCCAGTCTTGACATTGTGTTCATATTTTGTTGGGACGGGCTTCGGGTCTGTTCTGCCAAATCTTCTTGTAGGGAACGCTTGGATCGCTTCGCGCCTGTTGATATTCCCCATGGCAGCTAAGGAAGGAGAAGGGCAAGGGGAAGGGAAAGGAGAAGGGCAAGGGCAAGAAGGGGAAGGGCAAGGGCAAGATCCAGAAGAAGGTTCCCGTCGTGCGCGAGGACCTGTCGCTGCCAAAACTTTCGCAAAGCGCTTGTATCAGCATTTGTTCTTCGTCCCTCCTCCAGTCAGACAGTCAGAGAGCACATCTTGAAGTTGCAGGAGCGGCGCGGCCGACAATGTCACAATAGGTGAACACCTGTAGCCATCCAAGCTGTCAAACAACACACGTCCAACAGAGGAGCTGGTGCGATTGAACCGCGAGATTGCGTCACAAGCGCAGCTACGAGACCTGTCGGCAGTTCGCGCTACACTGCAGGAACTGGAGGACGTGGGCTTCTTCCAGCTTCGGGCAAACCCCCCGGTTGAAACACCCTAAACAACCCTACACAACCCTAAACAAACCTAAACAACCCCAAGAACCCCTAAATCCTAAACCGAAGAAAGGGTTCTGGCGGGTGCAGGAGAAGGGCTGGGCCAATGGCCACACATACGCCGCGGCCGTGCACGCGCTGCCGCCTGGGGCGCAATTCTGAGTTCCGTTTTTGTGTGGCACCGGGGTTTAGGGTTTAGGGTTTAGGGTTTAGGGTTTAGGGTGACTACTTTTATACCAAAGTCCACCCCATAAGCCCTCCTAAGCCCCCTTTGGTCCCTAGAAGCCCCAGGCCCAAGACACCCCAAAAAAGGGGGAACCCTAAACCCTAAACCCTAAACCCTAAGGCCCTAAACCCGAAATGCCTTAAGCCCCGGTGACCTGAGAGGTGTCGGTGCGGCGACTGGCAGAACGCCGAGGCCGCGCTCGGAAGAGCCGAGGCCAGAAGCAGCAACCCAAAAAAACCTAAACAACCTTAAAATCTAATCCCTGAACGACCCTAAACCCTAAACAACCCTAAAATCTAAACCCTAAACAACCCTAAAATCTAAGCCCCAAGTCCAAAATTCCTACAGCCTAGACCGACAAAACACCTTGGAAGCCTGGGCTTGTAGCCTCAAAGTTTTTTTGCTCGGATGAAGGCCTTGATAGCCCTGTGTCCTGCAGGCAAGTTTCCTGCATGCTCTGAGGGTCCCGGTGCTCATCATGTCCTCCGCCCCAAACCTAAGCGCTGACCAGATAGTCTCTAACTTTTTTCAGCTCCTGTAAACCCCCTTAAGCAAAGGCCTTAGTGAGCTCGCCTCTCTCAAGGTTTAGGTCCTGGAGGGAGGTGGAGCGAAGTGCCCGGTATTCTTCCCAACGCATCCCTAGACCCTAAACCCCAAACCCAAACCCCAAACCCTAAACCCTAAACCCTAAACCCTAAACCCTAAACCCTAAACCGAGAGAAGCCCTGGATGCCAAGGAGGCGGGCCTCTTCCGAAGGGGCGCCGGCGCTGCCTCGGGGCTGATCACGCGCACGTCGATGATGCGTGGCTATGTGCCCCGGCCATGGAAAGGGCGGCGTGTATGTGGGTGGCTGTCAAACTTATGGTACCCTTTTGGATCCCCAGTATAATACAGCACGTAGTATTTAGGGTACCCCAAAAGGGATCCTAATTTAGAGAACTACCCATGCGTCTATGTGCTATGTATCATGTACGCATCTGTAGTTGCGTATGTGTCATCTGTATATATGTTTTTGCATATGCACAGACAGTGTATGCCATGTTATGTTCGAGTTTATGATGTTGTACTATGCTCTGTTATGTTATGCCTTGCTACGTTACTTAGAACATCTCTAGTGGTGGATCCGGCGGGCGACATGGGTTGCAACCCTTCAGATTTCAGGGATGATCCTCTTCTTGTTTGTTCTGTGCTTTACCACAGATTCGCCCTTCTTTCGCAGGAGGCGCTGAATGGCGCTGACCGACAAGCCATTATAGGAGGATGTAAGGGGAACAGGGCGAACCGCGTCGGGCTGAAATTCGCACATTGTGCTGCGCCAGTACGGCTCTGTAGGATGCCATATCACCTTGAGTCGAGGTCTGCGAAGACGTAAGTCGGCTCTCCGCGTGCATCCTGAGAGAAGAACCTAGGCCCTAAACTCTAAACCCTAAACCCTAAACCCTAAACCCTAAACCCTAAACCCTAAACCCTAAACCCTAAACCCTAAACCGAGCTCGCCTCCAAGAGCCTCAGGTCGAGTGTGCGAGAGACCTGGGAAAGGCCCGGAGTCTGCTGGAGCGCATGGAGAAGGAGCCCGTTTTAGGGGTTCGGGTTTGGGGTTTAGGGTTTAGGGTTATAGGGTTTAGGGAGAAGGAGCCGGACTTTCAAAAGGTTTCAGGGTTCCAGGGTTCCAGGGTTGTGAAGGGGTTTAGGGTTCAGGGTTTAGGGTTTAGGGTTTAGGGTTTAGGGGTCCAGGGTTAGAAGGGGGTTTAGGGTTTAGGGTTTAGGGAGAAGGAGCAGGACAAGGGTTGCAGGGTTCCATAGGGCTTAGGGTTTCGGGTTTAGGGTTCCATAGGGTGGAAGGTGGTGTAGGGTTTAGGGTTCAGGGTTCCAAGAGTTGAGGGTTGCAGGGTTTCAGGGTTTCAGGGTTTCAGGGTTCCAGGGTTTCAGGGCTTCAGGGTTTCAGGGTTTCAGGGTTTCAGGGCTTCAGGGTTTCAGGGTTTCAGGGTTTCAGAAGGGGTTCAGGGTTTCAGGATTTAGGGTTCCGCTTTGTGACACAGGGTTGGTTTTTGCTGGTCGCAGAACGTTTGCTTTTGCAAGAGTTCTGTCAACTGTCGGTGAGTAAGATGTGTCAGAAATGTCCTGAAAATCATTGGCTTTGGATTCTTTTGGGTTGCCAAGTTAGCTTCTCACCCTAAACCCTAAACCCTAAACCCTAAAGCCTAAACCCTAACCCCCAAACCCCAAACCCCAAACCCTAAACCCTCAGGAAAAGTGTCTGGCCGGACGGCCGAACGTCCGCACGGCCAACACTTTCTTGCGCGGCTGTTTGGTCTTGGGATCTGTGGCGGATGCAGAGGCGGGCTGGTTCGGGCCCAGGGATTTTTTCATGGGCTTGCGCCCCAAAAAAGGCCTGCAACTCATGTCCTCCCCAAAAAAGGGTACCCCTATCTAGGGAAACCCCACATAGTTTGAGGGTCCCGCGGCAGTCTGACCCAAGTTTTCCTGTAGCTCTCTTCAGCCCTACGACCTAAGGGGCTTGAGCAAAGACTCGTAAACACAACATTAAGGGGTATCTGGCATCTCGCTCTATCTTGCAAGGAGCTCAACATGTCCGGGGTTGGGGTATGTTGAGTTATATTCTTAGCTATGAGGGGGTCCACTGGCTTCCAGGCAGCTGCTTGAAGGCATGCAGCCGTTCCCCCAGCTTCCGTGACCACGTGCTTTGAAGTCTGCGCAGACAAGTTTCCAAGACAAACCTGCTATTTACAAGGGAGCCCCCCTCAATCCTAAACCCTAGACCAAGAACAACCACTAAATCTCCGACGCAGGCCGTGCTCCATCGCATGCAGACAGTCTGGGCTGCTCAGGAACATCTCCGGCTA